CCCTTTCTGGACGCACTCATAAGTTAGTCACACAGCTTTTGGAACATGCTCAACAATCACAGCCTGCTCGATAGATTTGATACTGAAATTGCTTTTACATTTTGCATTAGTGAATTGTTTTTCTAGTCAATTTTGGATTTTAAGTGCAATAGAGATTATTTATGTCATTATTTTGTTTACTTGACAAGGAATTTGAAAGCTGTATTCGTTGGTGATGACTCAATATGAACACGTACTCGCTTCAATGAATATAATTTGTCAGTGAGCCCACAACCATGTTACATGAATGATGAAATGTTAAATTCGAGTTTCAAACTGGTTTGACTTCTCTGACTTCAACTCGTCACCATTCGGTTCTGGTATAAATATTACCCTTTTACTAACAATCTGAATATTCAGTTTTTGCCATTCTTAGATTCTACGTGTTGTGCATATAAACTTCATACTCGAGTCAAGTGTCTTGCACCAAGTTTTACGCTCAACTTAAGAAGTCCACACACAATAAATTGTTACCAAGAAATTTGAATTGACTGAAGAGAGGAAAAATTGTCCTGTCTTTTAGTCAATTGGAAATTAGAACGGAGACTGGAATTAGAGGAGCATATGCATGTGGGAGGGCGAATTCAAAGTGTGAACTTGTCTACTATGCCCTTGCCCCGACAAGACAGTTATAACTGGCGTGTTTTGAATTTTTTTTTTAGGAAAAAGTTGACAAATTGGCCCATAGTTTTCTCTCTCTATCATTAAATGTCTTGTCCTCAAACTTCTCTGCACTTAATAGCATGATTGTTTTTACATCTTCAACATTTAGATGAGCTAGCTGATTTGGCATGATACCATGACTTACAAGTTACAAGAGTTCGAGTTGAAGTTTCATTGCTATTCATTGATAAAATCTTTATATGTTAGGGTCCGTTTGATTGCAAATATGGAAAATGGGTGAAAAGAAAATGAATTACAGGGAATTGAATTGCCTATAAATTGTTTTACTGGGAATTATAATTAATTGTGTTTGATTAGTATAATTTTCTACCTGAAAAATGTTGAAATTTTGGATTTTTTGGTGTTGGTTTTACTTTTTTTTTTTTATAGAAATTGTCCATTAAAGGGATTTTTTTAACAATTGTGGATAAAATTTCTTTCCATTGTCAAAAAAAAAAAAAAAAAAGTTGGCAGGAAAATGAATTCTTACCAAATTGGTGGGAATTGGTTTTCCACCAATTCAAGGAAATTACACCCGTGTAAAGCAAATCAAGAAACGTAATTTCATAAAAAAGTTTTTGCATCAAACAAGGCAAAATGCAAAGTTGGAAAATGTTTTTCATTTTCCAAGGAAAATCTTGGGCTACCAAACATGCCATGAGAATTTTGATTAAATATGATCTCAACTTTGTGCGAAATATTCGTCTCTAGTAAATCCCTGTCTAGTTCAATTTTTAATTTTTTTTTTAAATTCATTTTCGACCACACATTTTATTAAGAAATTTACAACTTTCTTCAATTTTTTAATCACATATTTTATTAACGTTTATAAAAACATTATTAAAAATCTTATATTTAACTAAATCCCTATGTGATAGCCATTATTTGTTCAAAACAATATTTTGAATAATGATTTTTTAAGAGAATACTTGATTAAAAAGTAGATAAAAGTTTTGGATTTACGTGCAGAATATTTATTGTGTAATGTATGATTGAAAATGAATATATAGAATAAAGAATTTTCAAATAATGATTGTCAAAGTTGGATTAAATCAAAAGAAGCTTAAAATTTCAAATAGGTGATTGAATTCTACCCCTTGATAAGCATCGCATGACTAATACCATTATTAATGCGTTATCGATTACTGTCTCGTCTTTAATGTTTATGGCCCAATTACTATAGTCAGCGTCTACTTTTACTTCGATTCTCTTGCAGCATAATGGAAACATTTGCAACCTAACCCAATTCAAATCCTTCCTCTTAAGGGCTCATAAGAAGACTTATTCAAGAACACGTGTGTGATAATTTTCTTAACATGTTACAAGAACATTAAGATTGACATAATGTCAAGTGGCATTTTATTATTGGATAATTTAAAACACGGTCAATTTTTCCATCTAATCATCTACTGACATATGCAGTTATGTTAAGCTCACTATTAGTTCCTTCTGACAAAGTGGCTTTATCATTATCTTAGGCTACGTTTGATATCTCTTATATTCCATTTTCCAAGAAATGTCATGTTTGATGGACTTATTTTCTTGGGGATTTGTTTTCCACATTTCACACCACATGTGCACCATTCCTTTGAAATTGAGGAAAAGGCTTTTCCCACCATCCAGGCTGTCGTCCAATTTTATTTTTTTTTGCAATGGAAATAAATTTCATAATCAATTGTAAAAAAAAATCACTTTAATGAACAATATTGATGCAAACGAAGGTCAAACGAACACTAAACTTTGATAAAAAATGATTTTTTAGGGAAAAAAATTCATTTTTTTTTACTTTTTAGTAATGGAAACAAATTTTATAACCAATTGTAAAAAAAATTATCACTTTAATGGACAATTTTCATATAAAACAAAGCCAAACGAATACAAAATTTAAATTTTTTCCAGGTGAAAAATTATACCAATCAAACACACTTAATTTCTAATTCCCTACAAAATAATTTTTAGGCAATTACTTTCCCTAAAATTCATTTTCTTTCTACCCATTTTCCACCATTGCAATCAAACGGACCCTTAAAGTGTTTTGTTTGGTTAGAAAAGCTTTTCAAAGAAGCTACTATAAGATAACTTCCTTATAAAACTCTTCTAAAAGTTTATACGGCAGAGTGTGCGATTAAAAATGAGGTTTGGAAATAAGGGAGCTGAATATTATTACACTAAAGGTAAATAATTTTTTGTATAGTCGTGCTCAGTACAATGCCACTATGACTCACGAAAATATATGCATATTAGGGAGTAAATTCAACCGATGGAAAGTGAATTAGAAGATTCGATATGAATAGAGAAGCCCAACATGCAGCACATCAAACAAGGACGACAATAAACTAAACCTTATTATCTAATTTCGGGTCGATTATGAATCTCCGATGACCACTCCATTACATTTAGGCTCCGTTTGATTGGCAGAGTTTTCCAGG